GTAGAATTTATAGAATATTGTAAAAACTATGGTCTTTTACCAACATATATATATATATATATATATATGTATACAAACAAATGTTTCTGTGATTTTTTTAAAATACAAAATTATATCTGATTATCAATTATAACAACACTATTGCTTTCATTTGTATTTATGTTAGGTATGTATTTATGTGCGTTTCCAGCATTTCTATGTTTCGAGATGTGTGATTGATGTGTCTGCGTGGAGAGCATTGCGATTAGTAACGTGGTTTCTGTCGTACGCGCGCTACACTATGCGTGAACTGCCCGGTACAAATACGTCAAATGCTGCTTTTTGGAGTCTGGCTGTAAATTGATTGGAGCCTGTGAGGATTTCTGCTTGCGTGTATTTGTATAAATATAAAATAAATAGATATATCTTAAGATTAATAGTAATTATTTTCTATCGCAGATTTTTTTTTGTTATATATAAAGTTGCCTAACATTAATATTATTATTTATTTGCCACAGTCATGCGCGTATGTTTTCGTATCTATGTATGTATTCTTTATATGTGGCGTCAGCCACTCATTCATCCATATTGTAAATATCAAATTTTGATAGTTTTTTTAAAGAAAAATTCTGACTACATAACGACCGTTGAATGACGAAAGAAGTCTCAGCGTTTATTAAATATACAAGTTATAATGTTAATTTTGTTTAAATAGTAATTTCCCTTACAAATTCATCATCAAATTATAAGCATTAAGATTATCACAACAGAAATTATGTAAGTATACAAACACCGTCATCACCAAGGTAGAGAGTGAGGCCAAATGAATGGTTTCAGGCAGAATCACAATAAAACCCAGTTGAAACATTTATATACGTACAAATGCGCAGTAATAAGAATTTATTTATTAAGATCCATTAGTAATTTTTTTTATTAAGTAAATTAATATAAAATAGAAAAAAATACTAATCAATCAATTAAACACAGCATACACGGATAAATCAAAATACTTATGCAAAGTAATGTGACACACACATACACAGACGCGAACATGCACACACGCACAAGCACACACATTAGTTATTTATTGTTGAACCCGGATGTTAGGGTTGGCCATTGGATCCAATAGTGGATCATCTTCAGTGGAATGTTTGCCTAACTCGTTGAAGATTAGGACAATGGTGACGAATGCGATGAGGAATATGAACAGCATAATTGTGTAGCGTTTGATCTTCGAAGATGGTTGCGTGCGTAGTCGACCACCGTGCTGGCTTGTGAATGTGTTGCTGTAGAAGTGTGCAGAAAACATTTCCAAGAACATTTAATAAAAAACTAGTTTCATTTAAAATTTTTCAACTGAATGTTGAAAACAAATCAGCATAGATAAAATTAAACTGAAAATTCAAAAAATGTTGCGACATTTAAACATAAATAAAGATGATGGGGATAAGAAGAGTAGAAGATGGTGATAAAAAATGATGAAAAAAATGAAAATGATAGAGAACTACCTGAGCCATCTAGAGAACCACTGCATGGCTGGTCTTCTCTTATACTTGTCCATGTCGTGGTCACTCAGGTGAGATGCCATGATTGGAGGACCTAGGACGAGGATTGGGAACAGAATCAATAATAAATATATGATGTCTACAATTTTTGAATCAATAACAAATATTCCAACAAGAAAAAATGAGTAATATGATAACCAGATAGAAACAGATCATTCTTCTCGACGATTCTTGGGTAAGGAATGGAGTCATCCACTTTGGATAAGGTTGATGACGTCATATTGGATGTCGCCGGGGATGCAGATGTGCTTTGAAGCTGGTATGAAGAAGCGATGTAAGCAGGCAGGGGAGATGTGGAGTTCATGTGAGGGGCAGAGAGAGGAAGAGGAGGAGGAAGTGAATTTGATAGCGAACCATTTTGTGCTATCATCAGTTGAGGTTTATCTTGGGTCAATTGCCTCTCTTCAATCTGAAAGAGACAATCATAATTTATTGCAGTGTTTTAGCAATTACAACAGAAAACAGATAATAAAATAAAAACTCAAACAAAATAAAAGTGATAATAATAATAATAATAGAAACTGACTGACCAATGGGAGGCCAAGACCAGCTCTAGCCCAGTTGACAGTTGAAAGTAACTTGACAAGTTCGTCGATTACGGGTGAAGACGCATTCGAAGGAGGGAATACGCAAACTGAACAGAGGGGACATGTGTAACCTGCAGGTGCCGTGTTCGCCGGCAGAGAGTTCTCGTAGTTGTTTAAACAAGACCAGTGAAACACATCTGCAGTGATAACATTTTATCAATCAAATAACAAACAGATTACTGCTGGTAGTTTTCACTGAATTTGGATCAAGAAATAAGCATGTTGGTAATGTTTGTACAAAATAAGCATTTATATTACACTTGCTTTCTTAACAAGAAATCAATCATGATTAATGTATGCATCTAACAACAAAGTTATTTTGTAATGAGGAATAACTGATCTATTTGACCATAGCAGACGAGTCTGACGCAGGGTCCGCAGCTATCATCAGCCAGATTCTTTCCACAGAGTCGACAAGTCGGATCATAGTCACTATCTTGCAACCATCTCAAATAGGACTGAACGATGCACTGAATTGTAAAAAAACGTTTTTAGTGTTATAATAAAAAGTAGTAGAAAAAAAAACTATAAAAAAAATCCTTTTATTTTATTAAAAATTTCAATAAGGTAGACAAGAAAAAGCTAGGCTATAGTAGTGTCTAGTCTTTTATCTAGTAATAAATTGTTAGAATTTAAATAAATTGAAGATAAGCTTGACAAGGTTTATAAAAAAATTATTATTCACCCTAGGATGATCAGAGACAAGGCAATGTTCACAGACATTAACAGTGTGTTCAAAGCAGAATAATGTAGTCACCTTCTTCTTAGGACATTTGCACAACCCCATACCGATTCGTACTCGTTGATTATTTTATTAATTAGTTTCACAGTAAATTAAAACCTTATTTAAGACTTGGAGTGATCTTATTTCATTAGCTAGCAAGCAGAAGCGAAAGAAATGAATAAGTTAGCGACGGAGACCAAGCGCATTCGTCGAACAAATTGAAATAAAAACTGGAAAAACGCTACGTTTAAATATTTCCAATAATCATTATTTAAAAATCTAATATCAATTTAATAAAAAAGATTAATCTCAAAAATAACACGTAGCCACGTACAAATTCAATTAAAGCAGACCGGAACAATATTTTTTATTTTTTGTCAATACGTCGATGATTAAAAGTGGTCTGCAGTTTAAATTTTACTTCGTCCACTTATATTTGAATGTCATTCAATTCATACCCAATCCTATCCACACAGTGAACAAATACGCATATATCTCGATTATACTTAATAATATTAATATGATTATATGATATTTATATTAATATGTGTGATTATATTAGTTTGGCTTTAAATAAAATTTGTTTCAAATTTTTACTGACAATGTTTTACACAAAAACTGTTTAAGGATAATTATGGTTAAGGACAAGACGCCCAAAACTATTTGGTTACTGTAGCTTAATGTAATGTAATGTACCTGGTAAGTTCAATGTAATAATCAATGTAATGTAACTAAACAAAGATAAAGGTACCTTATAGGCAGAGGTTAACGTAAGAAAACTTTGAGTCTGGATTTACTTGCCGAAAGCTGTGTTACAGGCTATATGAAGCTGTGGCAATGAGAAAGAGAAGCTGGAAAAGAATAGTTCTACGCGTGACAGAATGGACTGGGAACGTAGAATTCAATAAAAATGGTAAGTGCAATGTCATCAATCACTTAAGGAATTGAAAATAGTCATCAATTGATTTGTTGGCTGTTTTATTGATTGATTGATTGGTTGGTTGGCTGATTGATTGATTGATTGTTCGATTGAATTATTGATTGATTGATCGATTGATTGATTGACCAATCAAAACAATTATAAAACCCACAGATTGTTATTAAAACTTCTCAATTGTACATTTACAGAGTTCAAAACGAGTTTTAAAACAAACCTTTCCATTTAAACGTGACGGAAGTGAAGCTGTGAATGTGAAAGCTTAATTGATTGATGGGTGAGTGGAGAGAATTTGAAATTGTGGATACAAAGTTGGATTAGATAATGTACTTCAAGAGGAGAAAAGATCGGATCAGGGGGCAAATGATTGCGGTCACTTAATATTGGAATTAAACGTGATTTATAAATGGTCATAAAAAAAACTTTCATCTATTTAGGTATTGTATGAAGTATTAGCGTCCGGTTAAATGGCGAAACTAGTTCTAGGAAGAAAGAACAAAAACGACAAAGCAGAAATAATTGAAACATTTGGTGGTTCTGTCTAATTAAATTAGCGTATCCCCAAAGAGGTTATTAATTTTCGTAACGTCTGTTTGTTTATTGTTACGTATGTACACATTGATGTTGTGTCTGATGTATGTAATTTTGTGGTCTGTCAGACGATGCGTTGATGTAATGTGACATCATTTTTATAGTCATTGGACCGTAAAGTAATGATTATTTAATGTTACGGTTACGTGACTTAATGTTATGACAATGTGCTACAAAGTATTTGTTAATGTCGCGATATATCATTACGAAATTACAAGTAAATGTGTTGCTATGTGGTGTGGTCCCTGTTATAAGAGATATGTGATGGAGATGATGAGATGATGATAATTATGAAAGCTTTGACGACGACGACGACGATGATGACTGTTGATGATTCTAATGACAATTCTGATAATGAGGATGATGAAAATGATGAGGATGATGAAGATGATGAAGATGATGACGACGATGATGACGTCGACGATGACGCAATTATGTCTGATGGCAGAAGAAAGTAATTTCGTGCTAATATCAGCTATAGTCTCAAATAATGAAATTATAATTTATTATTAACATCAGTAATAATAATAAAATATTAATCATAATAACAACACTACTACTACTACTACTACTACTACTACTACTACTACTACTACTACTACTACTACTACTACTACTACTACTACTACTACTACTACTATAACTACTACTACAACAACTACTGCTACTACTACTACTACTACTACAACTACTACTACTATTACAACTACTACAACTACTACTACTATTAATAATAGTAACAATAATAATATTATTTTTATTAGGTAAAGTTTTCTAAAATGACCTAAGACATTTTAAGGCGTGCTATATTGTGAGTTAATGTAATTACTAATTAGGTGGTATGATGATGGGTTGGTGTGTTGATGTGTGTTGGTGTGTGTGTTGTGGTGATGTGTGTTGTTGTGATGTGTGTTGTAGTGATGTGTGTTGTGGTGATGTGTGTTGTTGTGATGTGTGTTGTAGTGATGTGTGTTGTGGTGATGTGTGTTGTGGTGATGTGTGTTGGTGTGTGTTGTTGTGATGTGTGTTGATGTAATGTGATAAGTACATTAGCTTCTACGGTGGCACAACAGTGATTGCTAAAATTGGCCTAGTGATGACTGACGTTCAACGCAATTTTTGTCGCAACAAAGCAAAACAACTACTGCCACCACCTCCAGCAACAATTACCACAACACAAAATGTTGCAGCAGCAACAACGGCTACACAAATGTTGCAACTTCTGTAAAAACTTTCACTGTATTACCAACAACAACAACAACAACAAACAACAACAACAAAAGAAGGGCAACAGTATTTTACAACAAACACTACATTAACGACAATGACAAAGGTAAATCGCATCAACAAAGACAACGGCATGGGCAACGTTAAACATCAACTACAGCAGCAACCAGATTACAGCAGCACTAACACCAGCAATGAAATTCTACAAAAAACAAAAACAGCCGCAGTAGCTGCTACATCAACTACACATCAATAGCAGCAGCTGCTACACCAACAAAAACAACAACGACGACAAGAGTTTGTAGCTTCAACTCTGCTATCCGCAAGATGATATCTCAAAATCGATCAATAAGTCTGTGCTGTATTAAACTGCACATGTAGGTACGCATGTATACCTATGTTTTTGTATAATGTAGTACCCACGTATATACCCATCTTCTCCAACGTGTATACTCATCTGTACTGTCGCAGTACCAGTTTGTATACGCCTGTGTACTTGTGTACTTTGTGTATTTGTGCTTGCCTGTGTGAGTTTACATCATAGTCGCACTTGTTTTTTCAGCTTTGTTTATATGATTGTTTACATTTTTGTCATTCAGTTCACATATGTTTATGATGTTCTTGAGTTTTTTGCTCATTTTGACTTTTTTATTACGTAACTAAAACCCTTTCCATGTCAAAATGTCAATTTCATTTGGGTTCCGTTGATTTTATACAATTTTTCATACATACAAGCATACATACGTACATACATACATGCATACATGCATACATACATACATACATACATACATACATACATACATACATACATACATGCACACACACATACATACATACACACACACATACATACATACAGACAGACACACATAAATACATACATACATCCATACAAACATATATACATGCATACATACATACATACATACATACATACATACATACATACATACATACATACATACATACATACATACATACATACATACATACATACATACATACATACATACATACATACATACATACACTTCACTAATTTGCTTTTATTTTTGTTGTTTTGTCTTCCTTTCTTCTCACTGTTTTCTCTCTTTTTTTTATGTTTTTTTATCTTTCCTTTCTTCTGATTTTGTATGGCAAACTACAGGAAACTAATTCTGCATGGCCATTAAACGTTTTGCCTATATTTTGCTTATACACTCTGTGAGTTATGTGCGTGCGTGCGTGTATATGTGTACGTGTGTATGTATGTGTGTAGGTATGCATGTGTGTACGTATGTATGCGTGTATGTATGTATGTTTGTATGTATCCATAGAGTTAGAAATGTTTTTTTAGCAAGCAAACCTCGCAGATGTTTCTCGGCCATTAAAAATAAGCTCCCTTTGAAATGTGATTCAAAAAACTCCATGAATTTTAAGCAGTGCATAGTTAGTGATAGATAAATCAGTACTTTACATATAAGCAAGCAACCGACACAATTTTGGTAGCAGGCAATTTGGTTTTAAAAGTTAAATTCAAATACCGACACATTCTTCTTGGAATTGTAATTCGTATTTTTGTTTCAGAACTTCTTATTTTATTTAAAAAAACGCTAACTAAAAATTTCGTATAAATTTTTTATTTTTTTCTATATATTTTTAAATAACAAACGCATTTTTAACAAACGCTGAATTTGTGGCAACATAATTAACTGCTCATTCGTCTATTCATTTACCAAATTTTTAGTTTACGTTTGGAATTTTTTTGTAGTTTAATTTGCAAATTGATTAATTTTGTTAATTATTTATTTTATTAATTTATTACTATTAAACTTATTTATTCACTAATTCATTGAGTCATTCATTCATTTTTTACACATCTATTCGCTTGACTGATTCATTCGTTCAATTATTCATTCATCTACTAGTCACTCAATCACTCATCTGCTGTTTCGTTCTTTCGTTCATTAATTCACTCATGCAGTCATGCACGCCATGACTTACACCCTTTTCACATCACATGACTTGTGACGTCGTCATCAGTCACGTGTTGCAAGGTGCAAGAAGAAAATTTAAAATTCATCACTATCATTACCACCACTGGCGCTTCTACTGCTACTACTACTACTGTTTCCACTACTAATACTACTACAAAAAATGATGTAAAAAATTACACAAGCCGGAAGTTGTATAGTCGTATTATATTAAATTGAGAAAAACAAAAGAATATAATGGAAGAAATAATTGGATAGAAAATTTAATTTGAACAATTTTCATTTTAAATTAATTTTCTTCTTGAATTTTCATCAACAAGCAGATTTAAAAT